TGCCCATACCATCGGGTACTCAGCCATCCTATTGAAGATTGCTACATCTTTAAGGATTGGCTTGAAAGAAAATATCAAAAAAAGGAACTCACATTGTCCGACAATGTGTTGTCTCATCCTAAAAAAGAATCAACTCGGGTGGTCACGTCCTCTTCCGTACCCCTGTTTGAAGAAAGAAGAAAAGAAAAGGAGACAGTTCAAGAAGAGCAATGGGAGACTGCGGTCTCCAAGAAAACTGTGAAAATGTTGAAGCAGCTTGAAGGAGTTTCAGGTATAAAATGGAAGTCTCCTATTGAGCCCATGATAAATTTGAAGGCACTGCCGGTGGTGCGAGCTCCTACTTCTAAACAACTCTCCAATCAAGTTGGCACTTCAAAGTCTGGAAGGGTGAAATCCTCCAAGAAGAAGACTAAACTGAAGAAGCCTAAGGAGAAAAAGACTGCAACTCAAAGGGTTATTGACAATTTGGATGAGTACTACCAGACTGTGAGGCGACCTATCAAGCTTGCTGACTTCATGGCAGAGCTTAAAATTGAGGAAGCCAGAGAAGATGATGAGAATTTTCTTCCAACAGAAATATGTCGGGTCATCTCAGTGGCACCGAGTACCTCAGTAAAAGAAGAATACACTAAAGAAGTACCCTCTGAATCCTGTATGATGGTGTTGCCAATGGATTACAATTCGGAGGAGGATTTGTATTTTCCAGAGGGAGACGAATTAGACTCTAGCATAGCGTCTCGGATGGGACATGTAAACCTGGGTGGTGATTCTGAATCAACAGATGAGTCCCTAGACGCAACGATGGCTGACTCTGAAGAAAATGTACATTTAAATGACTCTGAACCAGAGGAGATTGCTCAAGTGCAGTTAAGAAGTGGCAAGATACTACCGCCTCCATCGAAGAAAGGGGTCTCCAATAAAAATATGGAAAAAGAAATAGTTATCAACGAGGATATTATCCTTGAAGATCTCAAGAAAAAGAAGACTTCAGCCAATGGGATAGATTATAATATTTTATCCCATCTGAGAAGAATCCCAGCACAACTCAGCATATACGATGCCTTGTTAATGTCAAAAGACCTTCGAGAGACTATGATTCAGGCTCTCAAAGATCCCGAAAGATACGAGCCGTATTTTGCTGAACGTAATTTGATTGAGGTTCTACAAGCTCGTAATGAGCCATTCATTACTTTCTTCAAAGAGGACATGATGCTTGGAACTGCAGACCATAATCGTCCTCTGTATGTTACTGCAGAGAGCGATAAGCTGATCATCAGTCGAATTCTGATCGATCCTGGATCCTCCATAAATCTGATAAGCTTGAAAGCACTGAGATCCCTCTGCCTTGATGTGGAACACCTAGGACCAGATAAATTAATGGTGCATGTTTTCAACCAAAAAAGGCAGAAAACCCTTGGATCATTCGTGCTCCCTCTTGTATTTGGGGAGCTCCACATAGAAGCTAAATTTCATGTGATTGATGCGGATACTTCATTCAAGGCGTTACTAGGTCGTCCCTGGTTGCATGAATATGGCATTGTCCCGTCAACATTACACCAGTGTATGAAATATCTCAAAGATGGAGAAGAATTCAAGATCTCTGGTGACATCCAACCATTCACAATTCATGAAGCAACAGTTTATGAAGATGCACGGTATTTCATGCCAAAGAAGCAAAAGTCTTCGAGCTCTCTCGAAGCTAGAGCATCAAATTCAAAGGCTGCAAAGCGACCTGAACGGGAAGGTGAGAAGAAATAGATTGGGAGAAAGAAGGCAATGCCGACTCTTCCCAAAGCACCAACCATTCCCAAAGAGAAGAAATTTGTACATCATCTGGGAAGTGACACAGATGGAGATGATGTTACTCCTGCTAAATCTTGGAGAGTATGCCAGTCCATGGACGAATGGAGTAGGCAGTTTGAATTTTCAAATGATGATTACGACTATGACTCTATTTATATGAACACGGTGCAGAGTGTGTTCTCTAGAAGAATAGACAGCTTATCAATTTCAGATAGCATACTCGTAGTCACGCGTGTTCCTTTACAACACTTCAAGGAAATCATTCCGCGCGAGGTGCATAAAGTTGAAGAACTCGCCACCCTGTATCTGCCTCCCCTTAAAAAAGGGACTGTGCCAAAGAATGTGTTATATTCCACGGGAGTTCGCGAAGAGGAGAATAATGACTGGTGTTGTATGCTCATCGTTATTTCCTACGAGACTACCTAGGTTCAATACCAAAAATATTCAGAGAATGCTACGAAAGCAAGTCAATATTCCTACTACTAAACGACAACTTCGTACAAGCTTGGGCCTCTGGTATGGGAGGAATCCACGTCCACTACGATGGAAGGATACAGATGCATATAGAGGTATCGGATACATCAAACGAAAATCCCTCCGGAAAGAGACTTGCCGGGCCATCACATGCGTGAAAATTAAATCCGATGATGATGATGGTGATGAAGAGCTGTATGAAGTTGATGATTATGATGAACAACCCGTAGAGGCCGAGCCTGCACCAGAAGAGTTTGAAGATGGTGGTCAGGCAGCCACTATGGATGATCTAAAAGAGGTCAACTTAGGAACTGAAGATGACCCTCGCCCGACTTTTATCAGCTCTCTTCTACCCGAAGAACAAATAGAAAAAATAAAAGAACTTCTCTGTGAATTCAGGGATTGCTTTGACTGGACATATGCTAAGATGCCCGGCTTATCCCTTGACGTAGCAGTTCACAGATTAGCAATCAAACCAGATGTAGCACCCGTCAAACAAGCTCCAAGGAGAATGAGATTGGAGATTGAAGAACAGGTGATCGCAGAAAGGAAGAAGCTAATAGATGCAGGCTTCATCCGAGAAGAAAAGTATGCCGATTGGATTGCCAATATTGTCCCTGTAAAGAAGAAGAATGGACAGATTCGTGTCTGCATTGACTTTAGGGACCTCAACAAAGCATGCCCAAAAGATGACTTTCCACTCCCTGTATCCGAACTCTTAGTGGACAACACTTCCAACTACGATATATTCTCCTTCATGGATGGATCATCAGGATACAATCAAATCAAGATGGCGCCCGAAGATGAAAAGCATACATCGTTTAGGACGTCCATCGGGATTTTCTGCGACACAGTCATGCCCTTTGGCCTGAAGAACGCTGGTGCCACCTACCAGCGGGCGATGAGTCACATATTTAATGATTTGATACATCAGAAGGTCGAGTGTTATGTAGATGACTTTGTTGTTAAAAGTCTTGGCCGAAATGATCACTTAAAAGATCTCAGAATTGTATTTGAGAGAATCAGAAAGTTTGATCTAAAGATGAATCCTCTCAAATGTTCTTTTGGGGTCTCATCCAGCAAATTCCTAGGGTATGTTGTTCGTCATCGAGGTATAGAGGTCAACCCCAATAAAATTAAGGCAATCACGGAGATGCCACCACCAAGGAACCTTCGACAGCTTCGCTCGTAGCAAGGACAACTGGCTTTCATTCCGAGATTTATATCAAATCTATCGGGTAGGTGCCAGCCATTTTTGAAGCTAATGAAAAAGGATGTTAGTTTCAAATGGGATGCAGAATGTCAGGAGGCATTTGACAGCATCAAAAGATATTTGTTGAATCCACCCATTCTCGCAGCGTCAATTCCGGAGAAGCCTCTTTTACTGTATACATCTACGCTAGAAGAGTCCCTCGGAGCACTATTGGCCCAGAATAATAAAGAAGGAAAAGAAAATACGCTCTACTACATCAGTCGAAGGTTGATTGGAGCAGAAAGCCGTTATTCCCCAATTGAAAAGCATTGTCTGGCGCTGATTTTTGCAGTTCAGAAACTCCGCCACTATATGCTATCCCATAAAATCACACTAATATCAAAGATCGATCTGCTGAAGTTCTTGATGACAAGACCAGCGTTGACAGGTCGTCTAGCCAGGTGGGCAGTATTGTTGTTGCAGTTTGAAATCATATACATGCCACAGAAGGCGGTGAAAGGACAGGCCTTGGCAGATTTTCTTGCTGCACATCCAATCCCAGCAGATTCCCCACTAAATGATGATTTGCCCGATGAGCAAATAATGCAGGTCGAGGAGAATGAAAGGCTACCATTCTGGGAAATGTACTTCGACGGGGCATCGTCGATTAGGCCTGCCCGACCTCCAAATATTGCAAGAGCCCGAGCCGGCATCGGTCTCACTCGTAGCACCTGAGGGGTGCATAATGAGATTTTCGTTCAGTCTGACTGAACCTCGTACCAACAATGAAGCTGAATACGAAGCTCTATTAGTAGGGTTGGAGATTGCGATCGATGTCAGAATCCAGCATCTCCAAATCTACGGTGATTCTCAACTAGTGATAAATCAGATCCTCGGTATTTATAAAGTTGACAAAGTCGAATTGACCCACTATCACCGACGAGCCCTTGAGCTTTTGAAGCAAATATCAAATGTCAAAATGGCTCGAGTTCCTCGAGGACAGAATGCTAAAGCAGATGGTCTGACCAAATTGACCAAAGAAATGGCGAACATCAACGAGGAGAGGCCTATATTCATAGGAGTTTACACTCGAAGGGTCTTAGAGCCCGCTCTATTACAATTCCCGAGGGCAGAAGAAATACTAGATTCAAGTCAGCAAGATAAAATCCCAGTTGACCCTCAACCTCTCTATCAGATTGTTAGGGAGAATTATCCAGAAGAATATCATATGGCCAAGAGACGTAAAGCTGGTCAAGCTTCAGAATCGTGGTGGCATTATTTAGATATTGAAGTCGAAAATGATTGGAGACAACCATTCATTAACTACTTCAAAGAAAACAAACTCCCGACAAAAAAGTTTATGGCCGCACAAATCTGAAAAAGGGCGTTGCGATATGCATTTGTCAATGACATGTTGTATAGACGAGCCTTTGATCAAATGTGGCTAAGGTGCCTAGGGACCAAGGAAGCTGCTAAAGTGGTATCAGAAGTCCACGAAGGGCTTTGTGGAGCACATCAGTCAGGTCCCAAGATGGCTGTAAAAATCAAGAGAATGGGTTATTACTGGCCGACAATGGTCAGAGATTGTATTGACCACACAAAGAGGTACTATGAGTGTCAAATCCACGGTGATGTTATACATCAGCCTCCAAATCCGCTGCACCCGACAATAGCATCTTGGCCATTCGAATGTTGGGTCACTGACATAATTGGGCCAATAGATCCGCCATCATCAGCGGGACATCGATTTATTCTGGCAGCAACAGACTACTTTTCAAAGTGGGCAGAAGCAGCTCCATTCAGAGAGGTCACATCCGAGCATGTGATCAACTTTTTCACCCACAACGTTGTTTACAGATTTGGTGTACCACGCCGTATAATTTCAGACAACGGTACTGCATTCAAGAGTATAAAAATCTATAAGTTCGTTGATCGACACAAGATCGATTGGCGATATTCATCTATATACAATCCAAGAGCAAACGACTTGGCGGAGGTCTTCAACAAGACGTTGGTGAAATTGTTGAAGAAGATTCTCACCAAGAACAAAAGAGAGTGGCATACGAAGATGGCAGAAGCTCTATGGGCCTATCGTACAACTTATAAAACACCAACGAAAGCCACTCCTTATTCAGTGGTGTTCGGTGTTTAAGCCGTATTACCATTGGAGATCGAACTACCGTCACTTCGGGTAGCAATTCAGAATGATCTCACTCAAGAGCAAAATGCCCGTCTCAGAATGTAAGAGCTCGACGCACTTGATGAACTCAGGTTACAAGCCAAACAAAATCTTGAAATCTATCGAGAAAGAATAGCAAAATCCTTTGATCGGATGGTGCGCCCTCGGATATTTCAAGAAGGGGAATTGGTCATGGTGCTGAGAAGACCAATCATCCCACACCGAAGAATCGGTGACAAATTTGTATCAAATTGGGAAGGCCCCTTCGTCGTCAAGCAGGTGTACCAGGGAGGAGTTTATCAGTTGATCGATCTGAACGGTCAGAGACCTATGCCGCCTATCAACGGCCGACATTTAAAGAAATATCATGCATGAAAATTCCATATCTGATGTATTTTATGATGATCAAAATTTTATATGCATATTTATCAATGTATGTTTACATTTACATTTTGAAATTCTCTTGTATAACAAGAATGAATTTCAAAATCCCCCATCAAACTGGGGGCATTTTAAATATTTATTTGGGTCGACATCGCACTGCGTGCCGAGATCCCTAAATAAATATTTAAAATCTCAAAGACAAAAAGCCTATCCAAAATGTTCTTGTGAGACAGGGGGCATTTTAAATATTCATTTGGGTCGACATTGTGCTATATGCCGAGATCCCCAAATGAATATTTAAAATCTCTAAATTCCAAATTTATTCAATTCTAGAATGTCCCTGCGAGACAGGGGGCATTTTAAATATTTATTCGGGTCAACATCACGCTGCATACCGATATCTTCGAATAAATAGTTAAAATTACCAATTCAAATGTTACTTTGTACTAAAGAATACAAAGATTTCTTTTTCAAAGTATATGCAAGTGATCTTTCAAAAGATAGAGACAACACCTTTTACAACAAACTAAGACTCAAAAGTCAAAGAAAAGACTTTTGTGGCTACACACTCCTACAAAATTGAGCTGGAAAAGCTTGA